GTTCTTTCTCTCTGTCTCCCCGTCTGGAGGCTCTGATGTGGCATATTGGTGGCATATCGGGCGCCCTCCAGGGCTATCTCGAAGCTGCAGGAGGCCTCTTGAGGGGGAACCATGGCGTGTTGGTATCTTGGGTTTGCACTCGAGCGCGATAAAACACGAATGAAGACTAGGATAATACTGATGATGATGATGATGATGATGATGATGATGATGATGATGATGATGATGATGATGATGATGATGATGATGATGATGATGATGACGATGACCTACTGTCTCTTGGGAGCATCTTGGGCGTGGCGTCTTCCAGGCCCTCCTTGGGGCGTCTTGTGGCTCTCTTAGGCCCTCTTGGGGCCCTTCTGGGCCGTCCTCAGGCTCTCTTGGGAGCCTCTCGGGCCGTCAGGGCACAATCTCGGGGGGCTCTGGAGCTGTATCGGGCCGTTCTTGCCGAAAAAGCGAGGAGCTGGAAAACCTGCATAAACCTAAAGGCAACAATGTTTTACTCGTCCTTCAGCACTTCTGGGGGTCCTCTCGGGTGCCGCTTGGGGTGTCTTGGAGGCCTCTTGGGCTGTGCTGAGGCCATCTTGGGCTATCTTGGATCGCTATTGGGCCGTCTTCGGTCCCGTCTGGGCCTCTCTCACGCGTCTTGGAGGTGCCTTAAGCAGGCGAGGAGCTTATGCAGTTAGGGCGGGGCCAAGGGCGCCCCCCCGGCGGCGAAAGCCCCACTTTCGTTTTTGTTTCTCGCTTAGACCAGCCATCGGTGCTCGGGGGGGGGTCTTGGAGACCTCTTGAGCCGTATTGAGGCCGTCGTGGGCTATCTGGATCGCTCTTGGGCCGTCCTCAGGCCCGTCTGAGCCTCTCTACGCCGTCTTGGAGGCCGTTGAAGCCGTCTGCATACGTGCAGATGTTTGAACACGTCTTGGGGCCGTCTTGGGGGTATCTTGGGCCATCTTAGGGCGATCTTACGGGCCTCTGGTCTCTTGGGTCGTCTTGGAGGCATCTTTGACCGTCTTGGAGGACGCTTGGCCTCTCATGGGCTGTCTTGAAGGTACCCCAAGCTGACGAGGACTTGACGCGCTTACGCGAAGCCTACGCGGAGCTTTCGCGGAGCTTACGCGGAGCTTACGTTACCGCCCGTTTCGGGCCCTGGTGTCAAGAACTGGTTACGTCACCGCTCTCTGTTGGGAGCCTTGGTCTTATCAGCTTGTTTTCGTCACTGCTCGCTCTTGGGAGCCGCGGTGTTCAGGGTCCGTTAACGGTCCGTTAACAAGGAACTCTTTTCCCTGTCAACGGTCCGTTGTCCGTCACCCGATGTTCCCTGTTAAGTCCATATCAAGGGCTCCCTTAACAGGGAAAAACGTGCCCGAGCGTGCAACTCTATTTTTTCCCTGTTAAGCACCCGACTGTCCATGTTAAGGGCTCCGTTAACAAGGAAAAGGAGTGGATTTCCCTGTTGAGCACCCGACGTTCCCTGTTAAGGGCTCTGCTAACAAGGAAAAAAGGTGCCCCGAGCGACAAATTTCCCTGTTAACGGTCCGTGAACAGGGAAACGGGCGGGCAAATTTTTCACTTGATTTTCCCCGTCAAGGGCTCCGTTAACAGGGAAAATGGCGGGCCATTGGATCCTGGGGCCCGGGAGGCCACCCCCTCACACTCCCCCTAATAATTCCTTCCGACTAACGGATTGCACGCTACGCGCGCTTTCCGTCATCGCCGCCCCCTGTTGATTCATTACAGGGGTGCCCGGCGTGCTAGACTCTTTCGCTTTTGGCTTTGGTTCTTCTCCAAAAGAACTTCCCCTGGGGGTTCGGCCCGTCATGCCGGAGATGCGTAACAGGTGGTTGCAAAGGGTTTGTCGGCTCCAGGCGGCTCCAAGATAGCCTCCAAGATGGTCAAGATGGACCAATATGGCCTCCAAGTTCGTCCAAGATGGTCCAAGATGGCCTCGAAGATGGCCCAAGAGAGTCCAAGATGCCTCCAAGTTCGCACAAGAAACACCTAAGACGGCCCAAGACGGTACAAGGGGCCTACAAGAGGCCTCAAAGACGGTCCAAGAGGCCTCGACGAGTTCCTCCAGGACGTTCCGAAGAGGTGAAAATAATTATTTGTCCCAAAAGTTTTTGAAGGATTTTGGCTTTTGCTCCTTTTCGGCCTTCCGACGGCCCAAGACAGCCCAAGAGCTCATCAAGTTGGCCCAAGAGTACCCAAGAAGCCTCCAAGATGGCCCCAGGACGATCCAAGAGGCCCCCAAGATGGCCCAAAGACGGCCCAAGAGGCCTCCAAGACGCCCAAGATGGCCTCCAAGACGGCGAAGATGGCCCCAAGAGAGCCCAAGAAGGCTCCAGGACGTCTCCAAGACGGCCCAAAATGCACCCAAGACTGCCCAAGATGGCCTCAAGATGGCCCAAGACCTCCCAACGCGCCTCAAGAGGCCGCCTAAGTTTGGCATGTTCGTGTTTTCAGCTCTACGACGGCCGAAGACGGTCCAAGAGGCAAAAGCGCACAAGAGGCCTCCAAGATGGCCCCTATGACAGCCCAAGAGACCCCCGAGAGGCCCCAAACAAGACCCCAAGACGGCCCAAAAGGCCCCCAAGACGCCCAAGATGGCATCCAAGACGGACAAGATGGCCTCCAAGATGCCTCCAAGACGGCCAAGAAGGCCTCCAAGACGGCGAAGATGGCCCCAAGATGCACCCAAGACGTCACCAAATGGCCTGAAGATAGCCTTAGACTGCCCAAAAGGCCCGCCAGAGGCCTCCAAGACGGCCCAAGAGCCCACCAAGACGTCCTCCAGGAAACCCGAAAGCTCGAAAACCACCTGGTCCGATAGCTCGCCCGACACCGTGTTCCCCGAAAGCTTTCGAAGCCCACTCGGGGAACGCGTGGCCCGATAGCTTGGCCAAGCTCAAACCCAACTTTCGGCCACGCAGGCGCTTCCAAAAAGGCAGGGGGGCGGCGGTGATTTGCCGTAGGCCTCTTCGATTAAAGGGGACGTTCATGAGGACATGCAGAGGGCAGAGGCAGGAATGGGAGGAGGGAGGGAGGGAGGGGGGAGGAGGAAGGACGAGGATGCGGGGCGACGTCTCTTCAAAACGAGGACCCAACACCACAGGATGGTTGGAGACAAAAGCAGGCCGCACGTTGCGGCAACGCGTGAGGGGTGCGCCGAATTTTTACTGCGGACGACAGAGGCAAGAATGGGAGGGGGGAGGAGGAGGAGGAGGAGGAGGAGGAGGAGGAGGAGGAGGAGGAATAAGAGAAAGGAGAACGGAGGAGGAGAGGAGAAGAAGGACGCGGAGCGATGCGTATTGAAAACGAGGACCCAACACCACAGGACGGCTGGGCACAAATGCAAGTCGCACGCTGCGGCAAAAGTCGAACCACGTGCGGGCTCCCCCCGACCATCCTACACTGCGATGTGGCAGAGATGGCGGGACCGCCCTGGCACGCGCGGCGCACCGCTCGGGGCGCACCTAGCTGGCCGCCTGCTCCGGTCTCCGATGGCCGTCGACAGCGGCCCCGGCCTATGCCGAGGCTCAGGTGCTACTTATGTGACTGGGTGGCGACATCCGAACCCTACTCCCGCCAATCATCGATTCTCCTGAATCGCTGGGGGGCGGGGGTGGGGTTAGGATTTCGCCAGGTGTTCGACGAATTCCGAGCCCTGTCCCCGCCGCCCATCGAGTTGCCCGAGTTGTTGATCGGCGAGGGTAGGGTTCGGATTTCGCCGACGAGCGGCCAAGGGCGTGTGGCAGTGAGCAAGACCTTAGCGGGCCCTGGAAACGACAAGGCAACCGTTTTACCGGTTCAATTTTGCCGTTTTTTGTTGCCGGTTCCGGCGCCGTTGTTTTGCCAATTCCATCGCCGTTTTTTTTTTTCCAGTTCCGGCTCCGGCTCCAATCCTGGAGCCGTTTTCGTTGCCTTTTCCGGTCGCAATTTTCTTGCGGCGCTTTCATTTTCAAGAAACACTTTTCGGAAACGGTGCAAGAAGGCCCTGAAATTTCAAGGGCCCACTAAGACCGAGACGGCGGCGCCATTTTTTTGTCCAGTTTTCCGTCGCCGTTTTTTTGCCGGTTCCGGTTCCAGCTTCATTTCCGGAGCTGTTTTTTCGCCTTTCGTGTGCCGTTACCATTTTCAAGAGGCACTGTTGGAAACGATGAAAAAACGGCCCTGCCGATTTCGGGGCCCACCAAGGCCCAAAAGCTCTCGAACGATGCACATTGTGCAGTGCAGGCTGCCGACCAGGAAGCAGCCAACATGATCGTTTCAGCAGTAACGGCCAGACTTGTCGCGATGTTTTAGACCCTCGCTGCAAACACAAAAATGAGCCACGGCTACGCTGGGATGTAGCGGGGGGAACTGCAAGGGAACGCCCCTTGGATCTTGTGTTTCTTATTGCCCGTAACGGTCGCAAAAGGGGTTGAGGCCCCGAGTAACGGTAACGCTTGGGCAGGGTGGGGCAAGTCGGGGCGGGGGTGCGCTGCGATCGACAAAGTATGCGCGCGCACACCACGCATGCGGGGGGGGGGCCCAGCTCACCCCCCACCCACGGAGGTGGCCCAGGTATCGACCGTTACGCGCCAGAGGGAAAAAAAAGATTGCCTGGCCGACAAAGTCGCCGAGCACGACTCCCACAGGAGAATATCAGGGGGAAACCTGCCTTTGCAAGATCTGGTCTTTGCTAGCCTACGAAACAAGTCTGAATATCCGAAACGTGTTGACACCTGTCGACCGCCAGAATTAGGCTCATCGCACGGGGGTCCCAAATGAGGCGCCCAATTGAGAAGTTTCCAAGAGGGCCTGCTGAGAAATCGGCCCCTTGTGAAGGCAAACGCTGCATCTCACTTACGGCATTCTCACAAAATGCAAGCGCTGAACTTCGCAGGGCTTTGCAGGGCCCCCGACTTCGCAGGGCCCCCGACATGCGTGCGCGCGGCCTCGGTCGGCGGACGCAGCGTGAGCCTGCAACTTCGGCCCCCGACTACGGATTGCCCCGCGTCCTTGATCACAGTCTGCAGCACCGCCTGCACGAACTGGAGCACCTGGTGGCCCTCCAGGTAGTCCTCTGCGGTGCAACGTGCAAAGAGGATCTCCAAGCGTATAACGACGTCTCGTGCAAGCAGTGAGATCCGCAGGGAGGTCGACTCCAACTGATCATCCCCAAAACGATGCTTGCATTGAACTAGCTACCACTTCTGTTTGAATAGATGTCCTGGAATGCCCGCAACTCGGGCAGCCGCCACTACCCCTAAAGAGCCCAGCTCTCTTGCAATGCCGACAAATGGTGCCAATGCTATTAGCCCCCACATGCCAGGACTGGCCCATGCGTCATGCAACGAGAACAATGCCAGTACATGCCGCCAGCCCCGACTAGCCTTGACGAGCGCGCACGCATGGAAGCTGGGAGCCTGCGCGAAGAAAAAAGAAACGGCTGCCGAAAACATCCGACTGACCCCTCACCACCACCCCGCTAGGCCACCCCCCTTTAAACGTCTGACGACAACACTATAAGATTCTCGAGATCCCGCGCATCCGGGGGATTTCGCACGCTCGGGGAATCCCATGTGGGGAAACCAAAACATACCGATGCCGCTTCTCGCCGGACCTCTCCCAGGGCGCGCTCTGACCAGAACTTCGAAGCCAGTCCAGCCGTGGCGATGAGGGCCTGCAAGGGGGCCCGAAAAGGCGAAAACGATGGAAGGGTACGGGTGTAGATACCTTCTTCCTTCTCTGACCATCTGGCCAGCGACCGAACGTCGGGCGACCCGGTAGGCGCGTTCCTTGGCTGCTTTGGCGCCCTTGGACGTCTCCTTCTCTTCCTCCTCGCCGTCCGCCGCCACCGCGGCGGTGGCCGCACCTCGGTTGTCGAGCAAGGGGTTCAGGAACAAGGGGGGAGAAAGGTGAGCGAAGGAACGGATTAGACAAATACGGAGAAACTTGCCAAAAGAAATCAGGGGGACACGTTCGTCGTCGAATGCTCACCTTCCTGAGGCGCCACACGGCCTCTGCCGGCCCCCGGCACCATCGGGGGATAAGACACTTCTGCGGGGAAACCTGTTCGCAGGCCCGTCTTTATTATTGCACGCGCCTGCTCTAAGCGGAGGAGTGGTCCCGCCCTTGCCTGCCCGCGCCTCTCCCGAGAGACGCTCACGCGCGAAAGGCGCCCCTCTGAATCCGTGCCTGATCTTGTTCCTGGGGAGGAGGAGACAATAATGTGAAGCGGCGAATGAAAGAAATGTGTTTTTCTGTAGAGCGGGTGCGTCAAAGTGAAAAGCGAATATTGGAGCGGGCGCGGGAGGCATGCCTTGAGCCCAAATTGCCACAGGGGGAAAAGCCTGCCCGCACCCATCCATTCCTGCTACGCGGCTAACCCACGCTGCATAACTGTATGAAGACCTTCTGCTAGCCAGGCCCCTCACAAAAACTGCGGTCACGGCCACGCAGAAAAGGCTGGCAGCAGACTGCTAGTGGAGCACATACTAGGCCATTCTGGTGCTCAGCGCGCGACTGTCTGTTGCCCCACGAACATAATTCATTGAGACAGCACCGCGCTGGCGTGGCTCACTACGTCGCATTCGCGAACATAGTTCGGGCATGCGGGTATATTCGTGTCTCTTCCGGATATACTGCGTTGCACTCGCGAACACAATTCGCGAAATGCACGTCGGCCGGCGCGGTCGCGAACACAGTTCGGACATGCGACGCCGACTAGATAACCCGTCGTCGATGTGTTTGTTGAAGCTGCTGTAGCTGGAGCTCGGTACGGCCTTCTTGTGACGTTCCTCGCTCAACCTCACCGTGTGATATACGTGGGCAAGCTTCCCCTCCATGATGTCGAGGATGTGCTCCTGGCCAACGCCCCACCTCGTCATGGCGTCGGCCCCCATGTCGCAGGCGTCGCGCCACAGCATGTCTGATAGCTGTGTGGTGCGCAGCCAATCTGATACCACCACGGGCGGCCTGCCGCGCGATTCTCCGACGGCGGCCGCGCGCGGTCCATGGTCAGCGCGGAGGAACGGGCGTGTAATCCACAACCAGCTCGACCGGCACAGCGTAACCACCCTCCTCCATTAGCCTCCCGATCTCGTCTGCCGAGGCGGGTCCGAGAGCCATCTCGCGGAGCGTGAGGAAGTGCGCCTGTAGACCGTCTACTGCTCCACATGCTACGAGCAGCTCGGAGCCGAATGGAGATCTACACACAAGTTTGCGCGATCGGCTCACAGCGTCGAGCAAGTGGCAGATCTGTTAACCAGTGCTGCGGCAATGCCCAGATGCGCATGTGCGGCGCCTTTCATGCCGCATCCTGCATCCCCCCGGCGCTCGAAGAAACCGTCTCTGCGCGCGCAAATCTGGCCCGCGAGCATCATTGCCGGGAAGATGCGTAATGCGCCTGGTCCGATGGGGATCAGCGCGTCGATGCATTCGTCCTGGTCGGGCGCCAGGTGCGCCATCGGAACTGCGGTGATGGTGGGCGCCGCAGTTGGTGAAGTCGTCGCAATCGCCCTTCATTTTGCCGCGGGAGCTCTCGGCGTGGCCGACGCGGCGACCGACGTGCCCCTTGCGCCCTGCGATCTTGAGATCGTCAAAGTGCTTGGGCAGCATGGGCACTAACTCCTATGCGAAGTTACCACAAGTGCTGGACGCCTCACGCTTCACCTCGAACTCCGGGCCCCGCCGCGTCGGAATGGCGCTGCACTCGGGCGAGCGCGTGACCCGGGCGAGCTTCATGGAGGAGGCCCCCGGCGCATCCTTGCCGCCCGTGCATGACCTGACGCAGCGCAGGCACTCGGCCCGCCCGTCGCAGGACTCGCAGCCTGGGCCCCCCCTGTCAGCAATGACATCGGCGACAAAACGCCAATCCAAAAACAAACGATTTCAACGCAAAATGAATGGCGTAGCGTTGGTGGAAGCGCAACAGTCTGATTGCGAAAGCGGAGGAGCCCGCGCGACGCTCCATGCCCAAGTGGGCTACTCCGAGAGAGGTGCGAGCAGCACGGCTGGAGCGAACGAAATCGAAAACAACTCGACCGCGAAGAACGACGACGCGAGCACTACCAAAAGCAAAACAATTCGCAAGGGCGAGACATTAAAACAAAAGTATGGGCACATAGCAATGCGACGGCGGCAATCAAGGCAATCGCAACGTCGCCAACCGCTGAAGGCATTGCAAACAAGCGTTAGGCCGAAGAAACAGACAGATGATGCACAAAGGCACCGCGCAAGAGCACGAACACGAGCATGACGTGCACGCTCGAACAAAACGCGCGTTAATCGCGGTGAACGCGCGCGTGCACGCGCGCGCGAAGGCGATGGTAGATCCTGAAGTCACAGCGCGACGCAAGCTTGCGCTGCGAATTCAAATCTCGCCAGACGCACTCCTGAGAGCAATCGGAAAAGCGGCGCGTAGCCATCGTGGCGCAGGGCGCCCGGCGCCACAGCGCGACGCGATCGCGGAACTTAAGCCGCCCGAACGCGGGAGGGATACCGAGGGGGGAGAGAAGGAGGGGAAGAAAGCGAAGATGGCGAGGGGAATGGGGGGATGAAAGGGGGGAGAGGGAGGATAACTGGGGAAGTGGGGGCAAGAGAAGAAGGCGGGGGAGGGGCAGGAAAGGGAAGGGAACGAGGGGGGGGGTGGAGGATCACGAGGGGGCGGTTGTAGGCCGCGCCTACCTCCTCCGGACTCTTCCGGGCCATCCTGCGCCGATTTGCGCCACCCCCTCGGGGCGTGCCGAGCGTTCTGCAACCTGCAACGGCGAGGGCGCGAACGCCAATCCCATCTTCTCTTTAGTCTGAGCAGTCCGGCGGCGCCCTAGGGGCGCCATCATTGACCAATTTAAGCATCTTTGCGGGCGCCCGTATTGTGTTCAAGCAGTTTGGGGCACGATTGGAGCCACTGGGAGACCGCATCAAGCTTCCGACCCATGCAGATGATCAGATTGAGCAACGTCGGCCGTCTCTGGGAGCTCTGCATGTAACCAGCGATGAACGCTGGAAGGGTCAAATGCTTGACCCTTCTTGTCGTGGAATCGTCGCGATTTTGACCCTTCATAGCGTCACGAGTGCGGTTTATTTTCATGCTTCCGTCGACCAACAACCCTGACCGCCACCCTCGTTGGCCTCAAGATGTCCTGTTCACACCGGCATGCATCTGGAACTCTCCTGGGCCCTCGTGGCCAACCCGGGGCTCTCTTCCGCGCCCCCTGGGGCGATGATGGGGCCCTCTTGGGCCTCTGGGGCTCGATTGGAAAATCTTGGGATCCGCTTGGGGCGCCGCGTCGAGGGGCCTCTCGGGGGCCCGTTGGGTTGTTTGTCGGCGATATGAAAGGCCTCTGGGATCACATTGGGCCCCCTCGGGTTACGGCGCGAATTTCAAGCCGCGCTCGGCCGCGCCAGAGAGCGCCGCCCTATGGAGCCAGAGAGAATAACGACAACGGAGGGGCATCGGCGTCGGCATCGTCGCGCCATCTTCCCCTTGGGAGACGCCGCGGGAATGGTCAAATCCTGCCCCCGCTGCCCCTCGCCCCCCCCCCGCACCCCCCCCCCCCCCCCTTTCCCGCCCACTTCAACTGGGCGGCCCTCGGGGATGCCGATCGCGAAGCGGGAGCGGCGCAAGCGCGGGGCGGAACTGGATCGCCTCGACAAAATGCCCGGCCAGACTGCCCGACAAAGTGCCCGACAAAATGCCCGACAAAATCGCAGGGGCAAGCGCCGCGGCTGTGAATTTACAATACATCCGCCCAGCCGCAGATGCCAAGAATAATTTCGCCGCTGCATTTTTCAACATCTTTTCCTCGGGCCAGCGCTTTCCTGTTGTCGGACCATGTTGTCGGGGCCTCTGTTATTTTGTCGGCCCATTTTGTCGGGGCCGCTTCTTTTGTCGGGCGAATTGTTTGTCGGTCCACGTTTCGCCCCCTGTCGGCCGCCTGCTTTCTTTCTGTCGGCGGCCCCTCGCGGGCAACGCCCCGAGCGCAAGGCGGGGGGGGGGGGGGGCGCGGGCGGCGAGGGGGGCAGGGGGGCGCACGCGCACGGCGCAGGAGGAGCAAGAGGAGGAACGGAGGAACGGGAGGAGCAAACAGACTCCAAGAGAGCCCAAAAAAATCTCGCAGGCCCGAGAAGGCCCCAACACCGCCCAAAGAGGCGCCCGAGAGCGCCCCAAGAGAGCCCCAGGGGCCAAAGAGAACCCAACAGGCCGATGTGACCAGGCATCTCGATGCCAACGAGGGCGGCGGTCAGGGTCTTTGGTCGACGGAAGCACGGAAAGCAACCATATTCATCACGCTGAAAAAGGGTCAGAATTACAACGATTCCACGTTCGGAAAAAAAGTCAATCATTTGACCCTTCCAATGTTATTCGCCCGGTTTATTCTCAGAGCTCCCACAGACGGCCAACGCGGCTAACAATGACCATCTGCGAAAGTCGAAAGCACGATGCGATCGCCCAAAGGCTCCAATAGCACCCCGAATTGTTTGAAAACAATACGGGCGCCCGCAAACATGATGAACATGGTCAGCGCTGGCGCCCCCCGGGCCCAATCAGACTGCCAAGACAAAAGAAATGCCAATGGCGCTCGCGCCCTTGCCTTGGCAGGGCGCAAAACGCTCAACACGCCCCAAGGGGCGGCGAGAGTCGCCGCGGGATGGCCCGGGTGAGCCCAGAAGAAGTAGACGCGGCCTACACCCTCCACCTCCCCCTCGTGATCCCCCGCCCCCCCCTCGCCCCCCCCCCCGCCCTGCTCCTCGCCCGCCTCCGCCTCTTACTCCCCATTCCCCCTCTCATCCCCCCCCCTCTCATCCTTCCCCGCCCCTCGTCATCCTTGCGCTCCCCCATGCGCCCCTGTTCAAACCCCGTCGTTATCA